CAATACAGCACTCAGTAACGTGTTGACCATATTCGGGAAAACTGAACCTAGTTGAGGCGAAAAGAACGCCCGGTGTTCACGCTCATATCCTACACTCGAATGTGTTGAATTCCAAGCGGTCTTCTTAGAAGTTGTGCGTGCTCTAGTCGGGGCCTCAAGATTGGAACCCCACAAAGGCCACTGTGTAAGCGTGCGCGCCTGAGAGCTCAAAGGCAGGGAAAACAGGGAAGGCAGGAGGGCAGGAAAACAGGCAGGGAGGGAAGAAGGGGAGGAATAGCAAGGAAGAGGAAAACAGGTAGGGGCAAAAGAACAAAAGAAGCAGCTGGCCGCATAGCAGCAGGTAGGGCTGAATAAACACTACGGCAAAAGGGCCTGCAGGGTAGCTGGTCCTGAAACCACCTCGGACTTGCGCTTCCACGTGCGAAACACTTACGCGGAACTTGCACGAAATCTTACGAGTCAAAACGGCAAAACACGTGCTGTTGGAGCAACCAGCAACAACAACCCAACATATTTCAAAGGCGCTGATGCTGGCACTGATGCTTCGAGTCACCAAACTGATCGGGATGCAAATCCGACTTGCGCAAATCTTGTGAACACCACAGTTTTGACTTGCGCGGCCGCATGCTTGTTCAAACTTGACATGCCGAATTCCAAATGGCGGCCCAAAGACTAACCAACACCCTGGGATCCCCGAATACGTAGTAAGCATGCTCCGTGTTTTTTTTCTTTTAGCAGTTGATGAAATCCGCGCGCCTGTCTTTTGAAATCACTGTGTGTGCACACCAAATGCTGCAGCAAGTCGTGGCACAGTCACCGGACACCGGCAACGACTAGCAGAAGACATGAATGTTCGAAATCACCCCCACAACAACCAAATCCAAAGGATGTCCAGTGGAATGTAGCCCCACCCAATGTACAATTTATAGTCGTCGCTTGGCAATATAAGTGGACCACCGTCTTTAATTTGCCAGGATTCCTTGATAAAATGTGGACTGTAGAATCATTGTAGTTGCTAAATCGCAAGCTGAATCGCGAACGTTTAGCGGCTAAGTTGCAGACTTGTAGTGGTGAAACAGCTCGAGTACTTGCTGCAATGCAACTTCTGAATCGGCGCACCAGTTGCTGCTGTGCAAGAGTGGCAATTTTCAGAGCTGCACATGTTAATTCTGCGACGGGTAGTTGCCGAATCGAAGTTGCTGCATCGCCCGCAGATTGCCGCATTAGACGTTGTCAACATTCGAAGCATGTCAATATATAACCGCTGCCATGACAGCACATTCAAGTAAATTGCAAATTGCCCGATTACATTGCCCCTTTAGAACACATTGACATTCCCTGACACATTCTGCTGAGCGGACGCCAACAACAGTTTGACGCACCTCACGTTTAACTGTGTTTCATTTGGGCCTGGGCCTGCTTTCATAGATTGGGACCTCTTGTGCGTTGATCCCTCACAGGTGCCCAACTCAGACTTTATCTTGAATAACTCTCCACATGGCAACGCTGCACCACCTTGAGCCACATTACCTCTGCAAGACGCCGCATTCTCCCCAAAGCTCCTCCTGCGAAATTCCTGTCTTTTCCGTCAGCTCCTGCAGCCTAGGCATGGTCGGAGCAAACTCTAGCAACGCAAACACCTGATGCAACATGACAGCACAGTAAGGGAGGCTTGAAAGAGTTGAATAGATGATTCAAGGAGCCTTGAGTTTGCGACACTTTAGACGTTTGACACTCAAAGAGCCCAGCACGTTCTGTAGGTTCCCGGCGATACGATCTCTTCTTTTTGTTTTGACAAGGTGTGCTTCAAGCAAGAATTCTCATCATCCAGTGCCTGGCACAGGCAGCAAACTGCCAAATGTGCTTGCAAGGTTACCCAGAAGGTCAAACCTACTTGCAACAAACCGACTCGGATTTGTCGTGCTTGCTAGAGACAAGTGTGTTCGACGCCTTCAGGCGCTCTGCTAGTTGCACATTCTCCTGGGTCAAGTCCTCACGGATCTGTGAGGTTCGCTCAAGTCTTAATGGACAAGGAATGGGTCAAGTCTCATTGCACACCACACGAGCCTCCAACTCCTGTGTGGGATCGCTCTCCTGGAAGCAATCTCTGTGACTCTGTCACAGTCGGACACTGGGCGCCAAGCTCTGCGGTCTCGCCGTTTGGGTTCAGCTTCAGCAACTTCAGACACTGCAGAACCTGTTAGGCTTATGAGCTTGCCCGTAACTGCCCACCGGGCTTCAGGCAACCCTGGGTTGGTGGTCTGGACTGGTGGCTTGGGGATTTTCCCTGGTTCGTGCTGAGGGTACATGTGCAACCATCCCGCCGGAACACCTCAAGCCACCAATCCAACACCCCCAACTAGAGGGAGGCTGATTGGGAGTCTGTTTTGAAGGGTTTCCTGCTGTGGATGGATAACCCCCTCAGTTGGGGCACATGAAGCCCTGTGAACAAGGTCTCAGAGCGCTTCTAGTGTAAACTGCAAACGGCCAAAGGACTTGCGGACGATCAATGCCCAATTCACTTGAGGAATGGGCATGCTGGACATATCAATTGCGGTCAGTCAATTTGCCTCTTTTATCTCACTTTCTCCGCACTCGGATTGCTGGAGGATTCGTGTGGTCCTCGTTCTGAAGCCCATCAGGCCCCATGGGCTTTTCCCGTTTTTGATGACATCGCGTTGCGCATGATTTGTTGGCACAAAACGTGCGGAGAAATTTGGCGAGGCTTGAACTTATGGGCCAACCCGAGCGCGAGGTGCGAGGCTTGGGCTATCGAGTCCGGTGCACGGTTATCCCAAGGCTGGCACTTCGGCGGCGCAAGAGCTCGCTCTTCAATCGATCCAATCTGCGCATCACTCCAGGTATGACTCACCTCTCGCTACCAAAGGTGCTTCTCTTAGACTGTTTAGACTGTTTAGACTGTTTAGACTGTGAGGCTCAAGCTCGTTCTTCAGGTCCTCATTCTCCTGGGCCAAATCAGTCTCCTGATCCAGCACACATTACGTGCATCACACCTCAAGATGAGATCCTCACTCCTCCTGAAGATGAGACATCAGTGCTACTGCTGAAGACCATCAGCCCATAGCAATGCCGTGTGAACAAGGTACACGCCAACCAAACCAACAGGTCGCATCAGGTGGACAAACCGGCTGAACTGAGCTTGCAGTTCTTCTGTCAGTTGCTGAAGGATGTTCTTCAAAGGAGAGTGCAGTCCATCATTGGCAGCTGTTTCGAGTCTTCCTAGAAACAACACATTCCTCCAGGTAACAAAATTGTCTAGCGTGGTCTGGCTTTGTTTTGCCATCGCTCAAGAGATTCTAGGCATGCCAAAAGCCTTTATGAACAGCACAATGGAACCTCCTGGCCTGGAAGCCGGGGCTAAGGCGGTCAATTGACTGATTGCGCCGCAAACAACAAATACAGCACCCCGGGTCTTGGGCTGCCAGTTTGCCTCTTTCTCACTCTCTCGCTCTCTCGCTCTCTCTCTCTCTCTCTCTCTCCCTGTGTCTCTCTCTCTCTCTCTCTCGCTCTCGCTCGCTCGCTCGCTCTCGCTGCCGAGCCCTCTCCCAATTTGAGTGCAACACCTTGTTTCTTCTGCGCAGTTGATCAGACAAGCGAGCAAAACAAGCATGTGCTCTAAGAACAAGCTGGGCTGGGCTCTACAGGCTTTGCCTGTCTGAGTGTCTATGTACAGGTGGGCTTGCTGTATGATCTGCATCTGCGTGTCATTGGTGGAAGGCCCCCAAAAAGTCATCGTTGTCGGCATTCTCGCCAATTCGATGCGCCAGCGTTAAAGTCACCGAGTCTTCACCTCATGCTTGACCCACAGCAACATGGGACGAAGCCTATGCACAAAGGCGCGGACCATCTCTTTCTCGCGTGTCCAACAAACTCATGTCTTGGTTCGCATCCTGCAAGCAACACAAACACCACGACGCCTAGATACGCCTAGCTTCTTGCGACAGTCCTCCGAAATTGTTGGGAGCGGCTGCTGCTCATCAGCCTTTCGAGCCAATAAGGTGGCATCAGTCTCTGCAATGCTCTTGGCTTGACCCCCATGCTTCAAAGTGAAAACAGCTGCCAAGACAAACAGCTACACAAAAGGCTCGCTTGATCCATGCCTTTGTCCACCACAGGGAAGCTTCGGCCTGCATCTGGATCTCTCAACCCTCAAACTGCTTTTGCATTAAGGTGCCTCCGTCAACAAAATGGCCAGCACAAATCGACGTAACATTGCTGTACCTGAGTTGAAGCACGGTTTCAAGCAAGGCAACAGCAAGGTAATTCCGATTATTGCCGGCTTCAACGCTCCTGTCAATGCAATACTCTAACAAAGCCTCAGCCTCTGTCATCTGACTGACTGGCCCTCCAATTAGAACAAATTCCACCCCTGTTCGAGCGAGAAACGATTGAGGATAAGAGCCCGGCCGAATGGGATAGGTAGGAGCCCGCATGCAACAGAAGCGTCGAGCCACAAGTGCTGTACAACATCTCATGGCTAGGACAGCGACGTTGTTTTTGCATATAACTCATATGCAAAAATAACGCCGGCTAGGAACTTATCAGCATCCCAGCTGGTGCCATGCCCAAAAACAATTGAAGTGTACTTCGCATCATTCCATACGGACCTGGCAGTACCAAGTGCGTCTTAGAACATCTGAGCACTTTTCTACAACCTGCGGCGATTCATTGCAACGAGACGCGATATTCGAAAGACAAACAAATGAAACCAGAAATTTGTGTGTGCGTATGCCTTGTCTCTTTTTGCGTGTTGGTGTCTGTGTGCTTGCTTCAACCTGCAGGGTCCGAAATCCAGAATCGTGGCTTATACAAACAGTTTTGACAATACCCATTGCAACAATTTTCAAGATCACCAGTGAATGGATTCTATGTGAGACGTGCAAGGAAGCCTTCGGCAAGCCTTTTGTCAAGTACCCGGAGGCTTTGGCCTGCCAGGGTTGTGCTAGCTGTCTTCGCTCACATCTCAAGCGTATTCTGAATCTGAGCACAGCCCAAATGGTACATGTGCGGGTGAAACCGCTAAGCTCATCAGTCGTCAAGCATGCAAAGCATAGCTACCTTAATGCCATGCGCGAAATCAATGTGCCAACGCAGCGTCGCTGAACTCATCAAACCATAAATGTACAAATGCTTGGGGTCATATCAAGCGCACATGGTCCCTGACCATGGCACACAAGCTGCGCAAGCTTTACTATCAAGAATTGACCATTGCTCGGCTCGGATAGAGCACCTTTTCAAGCAACATACAAACGCCAAGATTTGCAGGACGCACCAAGTCACATTATTGCTGCCCTATCTGCACATCTCTAGGTCTGGCTGTATGCATCCCAGCGACCCCACGGGCAACCCAGTGAGCGGTGTCAGCCTAGCTTGCGACCATGCAAATGCTGCCATTTCCACAAATATCAGTTCAAGGAATTGCAGCACCATGTTGCCTGATCCTGTCGAAGAGAAAAGAACTTCACAAAGTTGGTAGAGTGCCCGGTCGTGGAGAGCGTTCCCTAAAAACGTCGCACTCATGACACCATGCAGACCATGCATGGCATGCCCCACCTTGCGCTCGGAGGTTTTGTAGATCGGGCACATGTACAGATTGCCATCAATTATTCGCCTTCAGATCAAAACAAGAAGCTCAGAATTTGGCAGACTTTGCAACTCACGAAATGCTATGTGGTGTCAAATAGGAGCCCAACTTGGCACTGTCCGTTGTGGCTAGAGGCTCCAAGTGAACAACCGGCATTTCAAGGAAGACGACGTCCTCTGCTGGAACAACTTGGCATCTCACAAACACTGATCCTTTCTGTGTTCAATCCCCGAACAGCAGCTGTTTCAGTCGGGATCCTTGTCCGACTCTTTCAGCAAGCCCTTGTCCATGTCCTCACAGACATGAGCCAAAGAGTGCATGGTCAAAACAATCCGCCGACGATTAGATCAGAGAGCGACCGAACCAGAATCAGAATTAGAGGCCCTCGAACCGCCGCTGCTTTCTCCCGGCTGGAAGCGATGGGATCTCAGAAGGTTCCGCGCGGCTTCCAAGGGCTCCGCAAGGGTTCCGCGGGAGCTCCGCGCAAGGAATTCGACTTTGCATGTGAAACGGTGAGGTTTGCTAAGGTCTTTTGGGTCGGCAAGATTCCACAACTCAGCAGTAGCACCCTATCCATATGAATTAGCTTGCTGTTTTGCAAGCAGGCCAGCTCCATTGAATTTGTCTGAGGCATGAAGAAAGCCCTTCTTGTTTGCTTCAGGTTGTTGTGTGTCTGGGGCTTGGGGGCATTGTCTTGCAAAGAGCTATTTTGGTTTTTAGAACATGATGCTGCTAAGATAAGTGGTCCTGTTTAGCGCAACCAGAGAAATCGCATCAAGTCCACAGCCTGCAGCTTAAACAGAGCAATTCTGGCAATATTGCTGATGGACATAGGTGCGTGGTGAATAGGGAACGTGCAACCTGGCCTACCATACCTCAGGTCTGAAACGACCCCCCAATCATTGGGAGCTGATTGTCACTCTTGTCCATCAGATAGGAAACTCGTTGCCCATGGGATGCAGCTCAAATGCACAACAAGCGGCATGGAATAGAAATGAAACTGGCGAGATGGAAGTGAGGATATACATCAAGAAAGACACACTAACACAGAATGGACACAACACGAGTTTCAGAGTGTACGAAAAGGAGGCGGAAGGACATGGAGAGGTATGGAGAAAAATGGCAAAAACACATGGAAGTTGGCACGAAACATCACGAAATGCAGCATCTGAAGCCAAGGATACAGGGAGCAGCAGGGTGTGGAACAGCGAGTCTTGTATGCATGGCACGGAACAGCGTGTTCCGAAGCTCTACTCACGGAGAACCTGCTTTGCATCTTACTAAGCCCTGACGGTTGGCAGCTACACTGCATACGCCACGTGGCAAATACAAAGGCTTTGGAGCTTATAAGAATTTGCTGTTCTTTGTTTGTTTGTGCTCAAATCGAACCAGCTTGTCATTTGGAACAGCTAGGCTCAAGCTCTGTTGGCACAAAACACAGAGCTAGCATTACTATTCATATTATGCTTTCTGTCCGCGCTGTTTGCGCCGCAAGCTGCCTGCAAGGCGAATTTGTGATTGGAGCAGTTAGACCCGTACAATCTTCTCAATACCAAAAGAATCCTGCGAGCAACCATGACAAATCAACCAAGTTACAAAGGCTTGGTAGTTATGCCTTGACGTTCACAAGCTATCACGAATGATTAGATATTGCAAAGTGGACCCAGAACACCTAGCCCGAACATATCTCTGTCCTCCCAACCGGCGAAGGTTGGGCACACAACAGGTTCCTGAGGCTGCCACCCAGCCACAGCCTTGTAAGAAAAGCCCGTGAATGTTCACACCGTTCCTGAGGGTCGCAACTACAAAAACGGCACCAAGCTCTTGCTTAGTGCACGCTCCATATGATTGAGTTCCCAACTCAGGCGGCTTGGTCAATGTGCGGCTATCTTGCACCTTGTCAGGGTTCGGATGGTGTGTGCCAACCCTCGCTGGACAGCCATACGGATTGAGCAATAAATAAGGTTCGCACTTCAGTCACATGGGAAAAGAACTCCAAGGTATCAATAGGGATTTTGGTCTTCCTAAGCGGCACAACGCTCGGACACGACGGACACGGCAGACTGTGCAAAAGGGTGTCCTTGCGTGCAACTGCAGGGCCGCCGTCATGAAGCCCTGCACATCGCACCATGCCGACTATCTATACCGATGCCAGGGAAGAAAAACAAAAGAAAGCCTGCGGGAAGAAGAAGCACGAGATCCAGTAGCTCAAGGGTGGCCTTAGCGTGGGCGCGGGAACAAAGCCTTGACACTTCAAGCCCCTGGCCCCTCCAATAGCCATTTAACCAGAAAGTTGATGCGTGCGATGAAGTCCGCAACCTGAAGTTCCAATCCACGCTGATAGCCCAAGCGCAAATGATGTGCAACAGCGATCCGCTTGTCCAATTCAAACGAAACCGCTGTGTGACAACCCTGAGCGCCCGACCCAGGCATTCAATGGCTTCAGGCATGGATAGGCAACCTGCACTGCACGGCATTTTCTAGTACTGGTGAAGCAATGGCCAAGGCACCTTGCCCCAGTTCCCTGGAACCTTCTGCTCCTGAAAGGCGTTGAACCTAAGCGGATAGTGCTAAGCTTGTAAATTTTGCTAGCTCAAAGGTGTGCTTAGTGGAAGGCATTCCTTCCAGCTCAGCAGACATGAGGACGGTGCCCTTGATTGCCTGGACCAGCTGTTGCAGCTGCGCGCGCGAACACACACAGAGTCGAGGTATAAACTCTGTGTCAGATCAGAGTCAACGTGAATCGTTCTTGCGATAGCTTTCGGATAGTCCAGCCTTGCCAAGCATCACGAGGCTGGCTTTGACCACCTTGATGAGCGTCTCAATGCGTGCATACTCCTATCGGACAAACTAGTTTGTATCTCGTACAGCGTGCGAAGCATGTAGCGGTACTTCAAGCTAGACGCTTTGCGCATGTGGCAGAGAGTCCTGACTGTGGAACACGCCAACCGAGACGATTCCACCTTTGCTTCAATGACTGATGCTAAGAGTGTGTGCGTCTTTGTGTGATTGCCTGACGGCCAGGCCTTGTGCAGTCTTTTTGTAGGTCTCGGCATGAGCCAATTTGCTCTTCGCTGCATCAGGGATTTGCTTCAAGAATTCCTGACATCACAAAAATCCCGCAAGTGCCTAGGCATGGGCCCTTCCATGCGCCTCCCGCTTGGAAAAGCATTTTCCACTCCCTCCCACATTCCTGTCCTGGGCCATTTCAGCCACGATCTCCTCTGGTCTTTTCCCGGTCCCGCCAGAGGAAATTCGAGGCCTATGTTGCAGTGTTGCGAGCCTCTCTATGTCCGCAGTTCAAGTGTCGTGAGTATCCTGAGTATTTGGCTGGACACTGACCACTGTGTCCAAGAATTTCTTGGCTTGATTGAACCTGGGCGACTTTGATAGCACGAAGCTGAGCTTCTGAGCACCAAGGCTTTTCAATCTGAAAATGATGAGAAGTGTGTCACCTTGACATGCATGTGTCGTGTCAGCACTGGCAGGTCCGAATCAAGCTCGGCAAATTTCTGTGAGAAAAATCGCCCAAACAATGCAGGTTAGCGACTGTGCAGTGATGAGCGCATTGGGATGCAGCCTTGGCCAGCATACAAGCACTCCAGCTTTTTGCCGACTGCTCAGTATGGCCATCCTGAACTTGATCCCTGGAAAGGCCGCGACCCAAAAATGCGTGGATCCTGCATCTACGCGATTTCGCAGAACATCGATGCACTTTACTGAACTGAGAAAATTTCGAGCGTGCACCAACAACATGGGAACAGGAATGCTGCGGACGAATGCCTGATTTCCAATCGAAAGGAGGATTTGAGTCAACCACATGCAATGGCACCCTTGCCAGCTTCCTCATCCATGGGCAGTTGCTTCAAATAGTCCCGGGTATCTTGAAGGCCTGAGCCCAAGCTGAGGGCTGCAAAATGCTGCAAAGCATACAAATACATGTCCTGAGCTTGAACAAATCACGCTTCGAGCTCAGCGCTGCCGCCATCTGGAATCCAGTACGCCTCACCCACTGTGAGCTTTGCTTTTCAGCAGCACAAGACTCTGAAAATATTGTGGGCGCTATGTCCATGTCCTTTGTGACAAATGGTACAAATCCACAAAAGGCATAATTCTGGCGGGCTGAAAGCTCAGCTTCCTGCTTTCAAACCTGCAAATGCGAAGCCCTTCTCCAGGATTGCTTCCTGGGCACCCCATCAGTCGCTCTTTGGGCTGGTGGCGGCTGGTGCTCTCTTTGGGCTGGCACGCTGAAGTAGCCCTTCAGAACTGCTGAAATCAATCTGACATCCTGCACACAAGCAACACCAAATCACGGCGCAGCAGCTGTTTTTGAATTTGCCGAAGGCGTCACAAATCCGCACCGGTCTTTGTCATCTGTGACTCGGCCGCCATAGT